AAATAATAATTATTTTGTGACAAAAGAACTATTAATTTTTCAAAAAAAAAAAAAAACTTTTGTAATTCGTCTAACATGAATTGCAGACGATGGTTTCATGAATTCTGGGGCTCTGCAGGATCAAGAAAATTTCTCCTTGTCATGGGGCTGTGGTATCCACAATGGTACAAGGATGGACAACAAAATATCAAACAAGAGCTTGATGCACTTGTTAATTTAAAATTTTTAATTTAAAATTTTTAATTTAAAATTAAAGTTAAAAATTTAAAACTTTTAGAATATAAAATAACTATAGGTGTATTTATTGTTATCATTAATATTATTAAGGTTATTAAATTTTATATTTTTTAAAATAGTGTCTATAAATATTATTCTATTAATAAATAAATATTAATTATTTTATTAATTCATAATTAATACTTATAATTATTAATTATTTTTATCAATTAAATTAAATAAAAATAATATTAAAAAAAATAATGGTTTACAATATTCCTAGTCATGAAATTATTGCTGACGGTTATTAAAAAAAAATGGACGGCAAAAAAAAAACATTTTTGAGAAAATTTTATTTTTCTATAAAATATTTTTTTAACATATTTTTCTATAAAATATTTAATTAAATTCCCATAGGGAATATTAAATTAAATTAAAATACAATTATGACTAGTTCAGATATGTTACTCTGAATTTTGCCTTTCTTTTTCACAGGCTTCTTTTTCAAAGGTTTCTTTTTCTCTTCTTTTTGTGCCACCCCATTCCTCTTTCCTTGTCCCTCAAAGACATTTGAATACAGGACTATATAGCTGTTGCTGAGCCAAAAAGGTGAGCAGAAAAAAGAGAAAGCAAAGAGAGCAAACGATTCTATTTTGCTTTTCTTCCAAGACTCTGATCCCTGTTTTGTTCCCTTTTCAATTTCATACCTTGGCAACCCTTCTTCTATATTTCCCTCACACCATTTCCCTTCATTTTCTCACTAGGCCAATCCTAAATTCCTTAACTTTCAACAATTCCATCATCAGAAAAGACTCTAGATATCTGGGTTTCAGGTATTTGATTTGATCTTATATGGCTATCGTGTCTTTTTGCCTGGAAAGTTTCCTCGTTAAGAAACTCTTAATTTCTGTGTTTTTCAGGTTTTTGGGTTGATCTTCATCTGGTAGCTTTGTGTTTCATTGAATTTACCAGGTGGGTTTGTGCTTAATTATTTTCTGAATACTGCTTTCTGTTGTTTTTTTTGTTATAAGAGTTTGTTTTCTTTGGATCCAAACGTACTATGGTTTGTATCTTATTTGGGTTTCTTTGTATAGGAACAAAAAGAAGGATATATATTTGATATATAAATCAAGGGAAGATAGGGAAATGGGTTTTGATGGATTGGGATCTGGAGTTAAGATCAGAAAACTTATGGCTATTTCAATCAGAACATGCTATAGATCAGTTTGCAATCATCCATTTCTTGTGGGGATGGTGTGTTTCTTGATCTTTTTGTACAGATTATCTCCTTTTGTTTTTTCCCTTCTAGTTTCTGCTTCTCCAATATTAGTCTGCACTGCTATTTTGCTTGGAACTCTTTTGAGTTTTGGGCAACCAAACGTACCTGAAATTGAAAAGGAAGAGAAAGCTACGCATGAAGTTTCTTCCTTGAAAATTGGGGTTGTGGAGAATGCTACTGTTGTTGAGAGAGATGAAAGTTTTGTGGTGGAGAGACATGTAGCAAAGGGGACGGGTATAGTAGAGAAGGAGGTTGAAGCAGCTAATTTGGTGAATAATGAAATCAATGAGGTTGAGGAAGATGCTGGTACAGTTCGTTATATGCCACTGATTGATGAGAATTCAAGCGTTTTGCAATGTGAGAAGAGGGTAATTGATGAGGTGGAGAGAGAATCTGATGATTCAGTATTGGAGAAGAAAAGGGGCATTCGTGAGAGGCCAGGAGGTGAAGGTCTGTTGAGCCTTAGGGAGGTGGAGGATCAGTGTCCTCTGATTGATAAGGTAGGAGATGAGAATCTTCAAGTGGATGCTGATAATTTCCCTGCAGAGTCCAGTGTTGTTCACAAGGGTGATGAACTAGATTCTTCTCTGCTGACTGCTTGGAAACATGTGGGGCATGATGAGGAGGAGAATGATGATGGTGGTTCTGGTGGTGGTGGTTGTGATGATGATGATGATGATGGATCTTTGGATTCTGAGTCTGACGGGGCTGAGAGTTCTTCACCAGATGCTTCCATGGCGGACATAATGCCCATGCTTGATGAGTTACACCCACTTTTAGACTCTAGAACTCTTCTTCTTGCTCGTTTGTCTAATGATGAATCTGATCCTGATGGAAGTGTTGATTTGGATGAGGATATTGAAATTCAGGGTGAGGAAGATCATGATGATGAGGAGGAGGAGGAGGAAGAAGAAGGAGAGGTAGAAAAGGGAGATGAAGAGGATGGAAGTAAATCTGCAATCAAATGGACAGAGGATGATCAAAAGAATCTCATGGATTTGGGGACTTCAGAGCTTGAAAGAAACCAACGATTGGAGAATCTCATTGCAAGGAGGAGAGCCCGTAAAAGCATGAAATTGATGGCTGAAAAGAATCTAATAGACTTAGATGGTGCAGATCTTCCCTTTAATAATATTACACCCATTTCTGTCACAAGGCGCAACCCTTTTGATCTTCCTTATGATCCCCATGATAATCTGGGCTTACCTCCTATTCCTGGGTCAGCTCCATCTATTTTGCAGCCTAGAAAAAATCCTTTTGATCTTCCTTATGACTCAGGTGAAGAAAAGCCTGATTTAAAGGATGATAGTTTCCAACAAGAGTTTTCAACATTTCACCAAAGAGAAGCATTCTTTAGAAGACACGAAAGCTTCAATGTGGGACCATCAAGTTTGGGTGGTCCTAGGCAAGATGTCAAATGGAAACCTTACTTTGTTCCAGAACAGTTGGCTACAGAAGGAACTGGCTCTCACCTATTCCAGAGGCAGTTGAGTGAAGTTAGTGAATCCAAGATGAGTTCCATTCCTGATAGTGAATCAGTGTGTTCAGTTGTGGAGGAGGACAAGAACCTGAATGAACTAACTGCTTCTCAAGAAGCCCAACTGATCTCCAATGTTGACCATGCTTGTATCCCTGATGAAGGGAGCCAATCTTCTGGAGATGTTAATTCTTTAGATATTGAAAAAGCTGAAAAGAGAGATGCTCACCATGATGTGGTGGAGACTGTACTGGGGGATGAGGAAAGTCAGAAGGAAATTGAATCAAGTGTTTCTGACACAGGAGGAACACCTACTTGCATGGATTTTGATGCAAATGAAATTCCTTCAAGAATAGAAGCAGTTGAGGATGATTACAGCAGTAGATCCAGCTTGTCATCATTAACAGAAATAGTTGAAAAAATTTCTGATGCCAAAGGAGAGGAATCTACAAGCTCAGAACCAAGAGGTCATCACAGTAAAGAATCTGACATTTCCCCACGACCTTCATTAGAGGGGTCAGAGTTTCATTTTATAAGTGGGGCAGCGGATGATAATCAACATAAGGAGCCTGTTTATGACTCAAGCCCTCACGCAACGAAGAATTTACTCTCATTTTCCTCTGTTTCATCTGATACACAGGCAGAGATATCTGAAATGGGATTGCCTTCTGTGCTGGTTGAATCTGGTGATCAGGAACTTGTGGCACACAGTGAGAATATAGAGCAGATCAATTCCAGTTTTGAAGAGTTGCATGAAGCCTCCCAAGAAGAGACAAGTGAAAGTGAGTCAAGGGTGAGCGATCTATCAGGGATTACTGAGCATGATGTCGTTTCACAGGTTGGACCATCACAGGTTTCTTCCAGTTCTGTTAATCTTGATGGATCACTGGTGTCTGAATCTGTTGTTGAACATGTTTTAGGAGATTCAGAGTCATTTTCTTTGGAAAACGTTTTGGTTGAGGAGGGAATTGCAGATAAAGTAGAAGACTTTCATCAAGAGCATAATCAAGGGTACTCATTGAGACCCAATGTAGGGGTGCTTCTAGAATCCAACCAATGCATGGCTGAGGAATTAGATTCTGCACCAAAAGAACAGCAACCAATTCACCCCTGCATATCTTCAGAGGCTGAACCAGTAAAAGTGCAAGAAACTGAGCTTGAGTTAGGTGAAATTCACTCATCAAGTATGTCAGGTGATGGCACAGTGGAGGAAGGCATTATTGAACCTGTAAAAGTGCAAGAAACTCAGCTTGAGCTA